ATTTAGCTGACGCTTTTATCCAAAGAGACGCACAATAAGTGCATTCAACCATAGGGATACAAAGAGCAATAAACAAAGTGCAATTTCCTCAAATAAGCCAATTTACAATTTGCTATAGATAAGTGGCGTTACAAGAACAATTCAGACTCTCAGCACCCTCAACTAAAGGCAATATTTTGCAGTTAAATAACCGCAGGGAGCATTATCAGTCACACTTTGGTGTCCCTTATTATATCTCAAACATGGTAACTGTAAGACTGTACTCTCTGTATTATGTTTCACCACAGCTAAAGTCACAAAGTATTTGTTATGATCAAATATTGTTCTTTGTGAGACAGAATGACTAAGAAATGGTGGTCTAATCCTGTTTTATACGTGTAAATACAGCTTGATGACATCAGCTGTGCTGTGCGAGGGATGTGAATAGATTCTCCATTCAAATGTCAAATAATTAGTCGTAAGAGATTTGATGGTGCACAACTCTGGGCCTGTCTGGGAGGACATGTTATTGTGTTTTTTCCAGTGATCTAACAATACGTACTTCCAACGGGTCCAGCAACATTTTGGACACCACCTGAGAAGCAGAAAGAACACGTTAACCTGTAAAGTCTGTAATCGCTTCATGGGCTTTGATCCCGGAATTAATTTAAGCTCTCATCATTTAACCATGGCGCAAACACCCCTAAAACCCTGTTTGACAATTCCAGTTTATATTTAAAAATGTTAGATATTTTGCTACATTTAGCCCTTAATCACCAGAAAGAGACGGGGGGAGGAAAAAAAACCATCTGACCAGTATTAGTACAAGTCTCTTGTCTGCTTTATATCAAAATAATCACTTTTTTTTACTGCTGTACACTCACTTTGATCTATAACTATTACACACTACTCGGCAGACGTGTTTGAATTTACTGCCAACCCATCTGCTAAAGTATAACGGGAATTTGGAAAAATTTCGATCAAAATGATTTGATGTGTTTGAGCTCATTTTGTGTAGCAAACTGTCAGCTGAGCCAAAGCGTTTCTGGCAGCCAGAAAAAGTCTGCTGCAAATATTCTTTTAAAAAAGCTATAAACTAAATAATCAAATTGGCATAAAGGATTGGTATCGCATTTTATATTTATATACATTTATTTATCATACAGACATATAAATGCCGATGTTAAACATGTAAGTTTTTCAAATTGTTGTTAATTAACTATTATTAGTTAGAATAAGAAAGACTATCCCCTCCACCAATCACAAACATCACAATCATCTCTTCAAAGAAATTTGCTTTCATCATTCTAAACTTATCTGTCTGAAGTTGCTTTATTGTTTTTTTTGTTCCACTAAATTCAAAAAATGGAAAGTCTTTATTGATGTAATTTCTAAAAGAATCTTGAAAATAATGAATAACATTAACTTGCTCAGGACTTCATTTTCTGGGAAAGCTGCAGAGTATTTTGTGTCCTGTGGGTTATACAGTTTATTCTACCGCAGCACAAATGTTTTTGTTATAAACCATCCCCCCTGGAGACGCGCATACAAAGAGAGAGGCCGCCAAAATGAGATGCTGATCGGCCCTCAGATTTGCCGATGCTTTTACCGTATCGCTGTCAGCGGAAGATCATAGCTCTCAAAACTGGCTCTGGCTGAAGAGCAAAGGCAAACTGAGGCCGCAGCAGATGAAGAACCTCAACTTTAACTCAATCTTTGCTTGAAATGGACCCGGGCAACATGTTTTTGTTCCATCTGCACCGAGGGTGTGCGGGGTCGTTTGTGGACTTGCTTGACATTTGCGAGTTGTGCAAAAGAGAAGACTGAGGGTTCAGGCCGATATGTCATGCTGCATAGTTTACTGAATTCAATTAAGAGTCGTGGGTCCCAAACAGGAGTTGTTGTTTTTTTTTCCCCATATGTGTTTTCTATGCTGGCTGGCTGGCCGTTGGGTGTGGCCTTTAGCGAGGTGAATTTTTAAGTCCACAAACACATTTCTCCTCAAGATCCCACCCCTGTCTGAGCCCTGCAGACATCTTCTGCCGGACCATACGAGTCCAGACGTTGCTTGCCTGCCCATGTGTGCAATGTGACCTACTCAACCTCATGGAGGCCGTCTGCTCATTTCAACTTATTTCCCTCCCTCCCTTGCTCCCCTATTACTGTTATTTGTTCTTTCCTGGAAGTTTGACCTTCCTCGCTGCTTTTTGTCTGCCTCTCTTTTCCTAATGAGCGATGTCTTGCTAACTTGTGCTATTTGCCAACTCTTGCATCACAGAATAATAGCGACACCTCACTGACCTCATTAAAACTGATTTAAATCTATGCCAGCCTTTTTCTTCTTTTTTTTTACCTCATCCGACATGATCACATTTCCGCAGTACTAAAGTGAAATGATTTGTTGGTGTATATTTCAGTCTTTTTCTTTCTTCCTCTTTGCAGTAACTGGTCTTGCCGTGGGCGTTGTGTTCTCCGTTGTTCTCTTCAAACGTAAGTGCTGTTGCTTAAGATAGACTGAATGCATTTGTGTTGTTAAGCACGTCTTTTACTGATCATTTATGAGTAAATGATGCCACCCCCCCCCCCCCCCCCCCCCCCCCTCTCTCCCCCCCCGCTCAGGTCGCACATGGCCCGTCTCCCTTGGTTCAGGTTTGGGACTGGGAATGGGATACGCCAACTGCCAGCATGACTTCAGGTCACCATACCTGGTTCATGGCGACATGGTGAAGGTGAGTGGAGAGGGTGAAATGTGGCGCGTGACAGCGGCTTGCGACGCATCGTTCTTCATGATGTCTACGTGTGCTCATTCACAGGACCAGTAGTGAAGGACTAAAGACGAGCAGGATTTGCCATGAAGTTGTTCATCTGGGTTTTTTTTTGTGTGTGTTGCTGCTCATTTCTGGCCTTGTCACTAACGTCCAATGATTCCCACAATGTGGTTTTCGAATGCTAATGTATATTAAATAAAAATGATTATGGAAAACTTCATACTTCAAACTTCATATTTTTTCCCTGTGTTCACGTTCGAGGAGAAGGAAATGTGGTTTGGAGGTGGGAGGCAATTGTGTGTGTTAATGAGCTGGGAGACTCGAACTCCTGCTGTTTTGGAATGAGGGCCAGGTTCCGCATCTGCAGCGCTGTTAGGCGAGTGGGAGGGTGAAAAGCTGCACAGAGTGATGGAATAAAGAACATACAGTTGGTGGGATACTCGCACATTGTTGAAAGAGAAGGAAACGTTTGCACGTGTGTGACGAGAACATTACCAAAGAGTTGTCTTAGTTCTAGATTTCTTTCAACACCATAATGTGTACATAACCAAGACTGATCTCCACTCGTGCTAAGCCATGAATTTGCTCAGTAGGTCATGATTTGTAGTCGTGTTTTAAGTTATGCGAGTTGGACGCCGGTGTTTGCTGCGACCGTGAGTTTTCTTCCCAGGGAGTTGAAAAAGCACGTCTCCATATCACGAAGAATCTTTCACGTCTTGTGTATTCGTTGGCCGTGAGTCCGTCTGGCGTGGTTGTTTTGAGTGTGATTGATCACTCATGTGTGGTTGCACGGGCCTGAAGAATGATTGTTTGAACAAGCGTGTGCAGGCACACACGTTTATCCAGACCCCTGGTGAAGCAGAATCCGTGGAATGCGCAGGAATGCCGTTTCTGGACCGGAGTCCACTCTTATTACTAACAGGTGAGTTGTGCTCTTTGCACTCCGGACATAACACATGGTTTACACTTTCACATCAAAGAAAAGGCATGCATGCTTTTTGTTATACACACACTCCCGTTTCCTCTCCGTCACACACAACTGTTGTTTTTTTTCTCAGCAATGTAAGCAAATGATGGTCAATGTCAGAAATTAAGCTGCGTCAATCGTCCCCTGTCCACTCAAATATGTGTTTGCAAGTGAAGCAAGAGACCGATACGGGTTCTTATGGCCACACGCCAGGCTGAACACCTGTACACAGGTAGGATGAAGTGGAGGAATGGGGCGTGTGACTCAGTCGATGTGCCGCAAGGCAGCCAAATCCCACGGGCCTTATCCGCCTGTGCCTGTCTTAAGAAATGATGAATCACATCTTCTCATAATGTACAAATCATTTACGTTGAATCATAATTACTAGTCTATAATGTCAAAAATGATCCATTATTAATCTCAATTAACAGACTAATGATGACCGTTATCCAATTGGATCATTTAATGGCTCAAAACTGTTCCGTCTGTGTCTGTGAATGTCCGGCATGAAACATGAGGCCAGACCGCTGTGTGAAAGCTGCAAAACACTCTGTACAGTTACAAGTTGAGGTGTAACATAGAAAATGTCGTTATCGTTAGCACGTGCAGCCTGTTTTTGGTGTTAACAGGAAAAGCATGTCCCCTGTGAGCGATATGTAGATTTCCATCACATTTGTGAGAGTAATTTCACCTTGCAGCAATTGTTCTCCTTTCGTCTCAGTGGTTTACCTCTGAACTCATTCAGGCCTTAATTAGATCAAGTTGTCATAAGCACGTGATGTTGACATAATTTCTACTTCCTTGGTAAACAAATATGGATCAAAGCCTTTTCAAAGTATTTTCCAGTTGCATCGCATTAACACAGTTAATCATCTTTAATCTTTGACATATTTAGTCCAGAAAAAGACTTTCAAAAGATAAAAGATTTCAGATAACGCGTGACACCATCCGTGCTGCCATTTATATATTTTTTTCCTCCCCGTGAATCTGATCTGCGGTCTGGTATCGTTCCTCGGAAACATTTGAAACCTTCCCCACAGCCACCCCCCTCCCCTCCCCTCCCCTCCCCCCTCCTCCTCCTCCTCCCAGTTTTATTCCAGAACGGCGCAGCAGGACCCCTCTCAACCGCACCTAAAAAAAAACGATAGAGTTTTACAACAAAACCCAAAGACTTGGAAAAGTGTTTCAGGGGAATTTAGCATCGGGCCGGGAGAGAACGGAGGGGCGGGACAGTGTTCTATCATTTGGTGATGAAAAAGCGCTCGTAACTACCCCGTCCCCCCTGCCCCCCCTCCGCCCCCCCATCCTCCCCCCGCGTCCGACCAGCGGTTCTCCTTTGCTCTCCGGGTGATGTAACGCTCTCTCTGACAGAGCGGGTTCGGACGGATCCCCTGAAGCGCTCGCATTCTGCGTGCACATCGCCAGCAGACGCGCGTATTCCGACGGCGAGCGAGCGAGCGACGAGCCCGCGCCTCCTCCGGTTCCAGCGGTCCTCCGGGTCTCCGGGAGGGACCTTTTTTACGCAGCGCTCAGCGGGACGCTCCTCGAGCGCCGGTAAGTGTCTCCGTGATTTCGTTAAGAGTTCACAACCTTGAGCCATTACTCGCAGTTTGAAAAAAAAAAAAAAACATTTCATTACTGTTAAAATGTCGAGAGAATAACGAGTTTTTAATCGGCACTGTATTAGAGACATAATTCAGTGATGCAAACTAATTGGGCAACTTTAACGCGCAATAGCGATGCGTGTCCTACGTTATAATTATAATGTCTACAGGTAGAAAATAGCCTGTGAAATAAATAAAAATATATTTGTACAGAACGTCGTCCCTCCTCAGATTAACACAAGATGGCCCTTTATCGTTACACCTACAACAGACAAGGAGAGCTCCATTGATTCCCGCAGACAAGGTGTCTTGTGTCAGAGACATGTGGGAGTGCTGAAGGGTTTTGTCCATGTGGGTGACCACGAACACTCAGTTTTATAAGCAGCAGGAGAAAACGATTTTGTAGGTTGTAAATGACGTGACCGGTTGAGGTATTTTTAAAGGAGAATGTGAAACAGAGCAGTGGACAGACTATTAGAGTCAGGTGGCAGGAGCAGACATTACCCCCCCTCGCCTCCTTCTCCTCACCCCTCAATGCATGTATGAACTCCCTGATGTGTTGTTCTCACTGCAGCCGCTGATTCGGGTAATTAAGAGGTTGTCACTTTAAATCATTCAAATGAATCAACATATGAAGCCCTATCAAATTGCAAATTTGTCCAAAACCTGCCATTGAATCCAGGCAACATCCAGAAAAAACATAGAGCGATGTTGTGACTACTCTTTTGAATGTGTGTGTTTTTTTTCGTTAAACAAGGTCATCACAGCGTTTGAATGCTGTGGTTTTCCGGCCTTTTAGGTGCAGTCATGTGGCAGAGGATTCACATTTGTTGGGCGCTGTTTGCACTGTATTCAGCGGCACCGCCTGCACACATCAACCGCCTGGCGCTGTTCCCTGACAAGAGCGCCTGGTGCGAAGCCAAGAACATCACACAGATAGTCGGGCACACGGGTTGTCAGCCTCGCTCTATTCAAAACAGGTCAGGATGAAGGCCCTCTCTGTCTCTGTCTCTGTCTCTGTGTCTCTGTCTCTGTCTCTGTCTGTCTGACAATTTCCTTGCAGCTGAAAAGGGTGAGCAGGCTAATGCACAATTGTGTTTTCAGTTTTCTCTTTCTGCCTAATTTTCCATTTTCCATTCAGTCAAAAATCAATTTGCAGACTCCATTCACCTTGAAACATGAAGTAATAACAAATAATCATTTGTGCTACACAGTGTCGAGCAACTTTAAAGTTCTGCATGTTGATGATATTAATGTTTCTTATTGTCAACAAAAGAAAAAGGCCAAAACCAAGAACGGCCTTCGGTTCCCAACGAGGAGATACACTTTAAGAAAGAATCCTCGCACAGGAGTAAGAAGTGGACTTATTTGGGGAGTAATGTCAGCCGATGATTTGTTGCTCTGGTGAGTGTGCAGCAGCTGGCCCGTGTTGGTGCAGCGCCGGAACGTGTCATCCGCTGCAAGTGGCTCAGTGACGCGTTTCTTCCATAAGAAGTAATGCGCTAAATCACACTAACAATACGTCTTACGAGGAATCCTTCCACGTTTGTTTTGTTATTTTAAATGGTATGTGTTGCCAAATACAATACGGCTGAACTAATTTCTTTTTCAGTGTGCTTGACCTGTAGTCATTACTTACAAGTAGTTTGTTCCTCCTAAGAGTTCTTGGGTGGTTTAGTAACAACGGCTCAGGAATGATTTATATGTATTCCCCCCTAAGCCGTGCCCACAGTGACATTTACATGTTTTGCACACTTTCTATGTTCAAACAATTATTATCTGTCACCTTAATCATTTCCACTCCTAAGGAGAAGATTCAATGAAAAGTCTCCATTTTGTTTTTGGCCTGAGGCTACCAGACATGCACAGCTCTTGCTTTCTCAGGCATGAACGCCCCGACTGTGCGGTTGAATCATGCAATAATGCGCTCTGTCCTCCTCACAGAGCCTGTCTGGGTCAGTGTTTCAGTTACAGCGTCCCCAACACGTTCCCACAGTCGACCGAGTCCCTGGTGCACTGTGACTCCTGCATGCCTGCCCAGACGCAGTGGGAAGTGGTAAGATTTATGGCACATTAGCTGGGAGGCAGCACACACCATCACGGGCCAGTCGAACTCAAACACAAAACCACAGGTTCCAAGCGTGAAAGAGCCGCTCGTCGGTGGCCAAAACAAAGCAGAAGAAAAGAAACAGGAATGGAGAATTTGCAATAGATTCGTGGCACAATTTCCGCAGTTCCCTCTTCGGAGATGCCTCTGAAACTTAAACCTGCTTCTTACATCCCTCGAAGCGGCATTGTCCGCGTCAGCCAGAGTGAATCCAGTCTTTCGTCAAGAAAGGCTTTGTAGTGAGGCGTATGTTGTTTGGAAAGCTGCCAGGTAGGCCAGGCGGGTGGGACTTCAGGTGAGGTCGTTTCATGTTTCAGTGGAAAATATCACTTGGAGTTCACTGATGTTACCTGATAGATTAATTAAATTATTGTGCCATTTATGTTGCTTGAGAAAATCCAGAGAACGTGTGTTTAAAGTCTCAAATGACTTCTAACTATTTGGAAATGGACGTTTTTGTCCGTGGTTATGATTGTTGTTGCAGGGCTTTAAACTGAATTCAGTTTCAGACGAAACAAAGTCAGTTCTTATGAAAGAGGTTACTGCTACGTGCCGGTTTAGCACTTGGTGGGAGATCTTGATAAAACTGCTGAATTATCATTTTCAATGGATAATGGAAACATGTGTATGTGGTCTTGAGATCTAGAAGAGCTTCTGCAAAACTGAGGTTTAGAAGATGTTTCTGTTTACTTTATATCTATTCCACGGCCAAGACAATCATGGTGCGACCATTTTCAAAAAACCAGAACCAAAGAGCAAGAATTTAACAGAAAACACACACGCGCATCATCCATCCACATTTACCATAGCAGTAAGACATTATAATCAAATCACATTTCCTTAAAAGGAACATCAAAACAAAATAGAATACCTCAACTAATCATATATATATATATATATATGTATATATATATATGTATATATATATGTATATATATATATATATATATATATGTATATATATATATATGTATATATATATATGTATATATATATGTATGTGTATATATATATATATATATATATGTATATATATGTATATATATATATATGTTTATATATATATATATATATATATGTATATATATATGTATGTATATATATATATATATATATATATATATATATGTATGTATATATATATGTATGTATATATATGTATATATATATATATATACATATATATATATAAAACAAGTAGGAATGAATAATAAAACTACAACTCACAGTAGTCTCATGTCTGTGTCGCTCTCTCTCTTCTTAGTCACATTGGAAATACATTTATAAATATATGAAACCCAATGGGTAAAAATATAATACTATAAATATATCTCACACTATTACATGCAGTCTAAGTGGAGAATAATGTTGGCTGCTTCATAGATAGTGACTGACAAACCACATATCCAGAGCCATTCACATCACTCACCTCATATATGAATAAACAAACACTCACTCTCTCTCCCTCTTCTGCATTTGTATGTAATGAATTGTGTGTCTGTTAACAGGTGACCTGGAGTGCCCGGCAGCGAGAAGTCTCCTCATGTGGATAAGCTAGTAGAGAGGATCTTCCACTGCAGCTGCCAGTCCTGCAGTAAAGAGAGTGGCGAGGAGGGAGCGGTGATGCAGCTGTACTCAGCCGACAACGTGCTGGACGCCCCGTCTTTATCTGACGTGCTCGCCGATGCTCAGTCTCACCCTCCGCCCCCCTCAGACACACACCCCAAAAAGCACGTTCACGCACACACAGACCATCACACACTACCGCACACATCAGATGGAGGATAGGGTACGACTTGTTTCTAGCACTTTGCTCATCTCTCCTTCCTCCTTCCTCCCCGCAACCTTTGTACCAATCGGTAGTATTGTAAAGGCACTTTGAAAATATGGCTTCAGGTCAGTCAAAAGGTTTCTCTAAAAGCATGCGCGCACACACACACACACACCCACACACACACACATAGACTCTCTTTCTCTATCTTTATCTCACAAAGTCATGCTGTCAGATTAAACTCTATCGTATATCAACTCGTGCAAACACACCCGTCTATCACTCTTTTCGTGGTTTTTTGACTTAACAAGCAAATGTGTGCATCCAGACGGTACATGTCTGTTAATAATCCGTCTCATTACTTTCTATCCGCTTAAATGCAATAAATTCTATTGTTGGGATAAATGCCTGTTTGTCCTTTGTTTTATTTCACAGTGCCAGTTAATGATCAGTCATCTGCCACAGTGAGTGGCATAAGGAGTTTGTGATGAATTAAATCAATGAATCTAAAATTGAAGTTATAAATAAAGTTATCATCTTTTTTATCGTGCGGCTGCTGTGTGAATTTTGGCCACGGCACATGGTTTTGTTTTGTTTGATAAACAAAACTACAGTCACAGAGAAACATTTAATAGAAGTTTGTTTGGCTTACTGGAGCCCGGAAGAGGTGCATGATGGGAAGAGACGCTGCCTGCTACATTGACCTGAATACGATCTTGCTGTGTTCAACATACTTTCACTTGTTTATCCATGAGACTAAATATTTTTGTACTGATAATCCAGAATTTAAAGGATTTTATGTCTGAAAGCAGTGCTCACATGCCCATAAAAATGTATCCTTAGTGTGTTTTTAAAGTAAGAGATGAGGGGGGAAACTCACTTTCCGCACGCTGTGCAAAAATGCCTCTAAAAGTCCAGCTAAAGTTGATATCAGGTTACAGTACAAAGGGGAAGTTCTTTCTCAGAAGACCTTGGAAGATTTCCATTTGATGTGAATCAAACTGTGTGAAAAACTTTTGGTTTTGTCCCCTGTGTTCAACATTGTCGTCATGTTACTGAGGGATTTCTTTTCAGTAAGTGTGGAGGAAACAACTGTAAACGTACCTATGGGCATTTGAAAACATGTGAATCCAACCTTCGAAGTAGGTTAGTTCAGAATGTATCAAGTACCATAAGTTTTCTTATTCAGGTAACTCTCAAATACTGAATTGAATGTGGCCAATTCATAAATACAAAAAATCATTTGAAAGATTTTTGCTATAATGTAAAGATTTTCCGGGTCGGTCATTTCTGATTCACTCTTCACAAAACGTTCTCTATGTTTTTGGAAAACATGCATTTAATTGAATACTAACTTGAATTAGAAAAGTGAATTAGAAAAAATAAAACACTTTAAAATACACTTTCAATTTGTGCATTTAATTTAAATTCCATTACCTAATGACTAATGATGATAATCAGTGAAGAGCAGGTCAGCTTAACTTGCCAAAACTGATATTTTTCTTCACACAAGCATGCAATTCAACATAAATGATCCAGCTCAGGTAGCTGGATCATGGATGAATGGGTGTACACATAAAGATACATAGATCTACTTTTAAAAGGGATCATAGTGATTGAAGAGGGATCACCATGGCAACCCGCGGGATGCTGTTCCGTTAATGGCGGATGACCTCGTGCGTATAGCTCAAGGCAGAAAGCGACAGAACCACACAAAGCTCAACGTTCCCAAAAGGAAACAAACGGCGGATGTCCAGTTCACAGTCGGCTCGTTTAAGTATAAACTTCAATCAAGTCAATAACGAAAGGCTGGAGGACATCGCACGAATTGGCTGCCAATTGATTTAATGAATCCGTTAAAAGTTTAGCTTGAAAAGTTCACAGAGAGCCCAGCAGATGTCAGCAGATGTTAGAGGTGGAGTCTTGAAAGGTTGACCTCCAACACACTGAGCCACAGCATCTTACCCGTAGACTCTCTGCAGCATCTTACATCTCCTCAATCAGACTCTCCACAGCGTATTTTTCTCTCCTTCATCAAGCATTCCCTCATCTCCATCTCTACTTCCCCGGACAGTATCTTTTCTTCCATTTCTGGTGAGCTGTGTCCCACATCATCTCCCCATGTTCCATTTAATTAAATTTGAACAGCAAAAGGTCGACTGTCTGTCTGTGCTGCAAAACAAATCGATCACTGCTTATCACCCGGCGACGCAGCAGATGCACTGAAGGTTGTTGAAAAGCAGACAGATGGAAAAAAAGGGGATTTACTTCATTGTAGCCAATTTTTCTCCTTATAATTTCGTCACTTTTAACAATATGTGTGACAATTTATCCTTTAAAGTGTACCCTAACTTATTATACCTAAAAAACAACAATATTATCAGATCGAGGCTTGGAACAGCCATTGTAATATTTAGTAATTCAGTTCAGGCTGTCTCAATTATTGTTAAAATGGAGAAAGAAGAAGAAAACATTTAATGGTTGAATAGAATTAATTGCCTTATTAAAGAATAAGTTTAATTGGCCCCCAACAAGTTTTCCTCCCCGTCCTGGCCTGTCATACGCCCGTCACGTCTTCGTGCTCATGCTAGCTGCCCTTTTGCCATGCACGGAAGGCGGTTTTAAGAAGCTTTTTAGACGTTTTTATTGCTGATTAAATAACAAAAATGTGTGACATACGATTTAGCCAATTAGCGTCCTTTAATAGACTCGGCCTGTTGCAACAGTGGTTTGGCCCCAGGCTTCTCTTTAAGGCTGGTATTAACAGAATGACATTCTAGAGGATGTAAAGGGCACCGATTATATCGCCATTCAAGCAGACGAAACGACTGACATACGGTATATGTTATATAGTTATGATTATTAATTAAATATATATATATTATATTCAACTGAATTGCCTAAATATTTACCTCTGGTTACAAGTCTGTGTGTGTCCTTTTTATTTGCTTTTTGAAATGTTGGTAAACTAAATAAGTAAAAATGTATTTTTTTATTGAGTCACCAGGTTAAATGCTTGACTTTTGGTAATTAATCCCATGCAGCTTTACTACACTCCATCAAGTCTTCAGTACTACTGACCAAACAACCTGGCAACCTTAAAGCTGCTCTTAATTGTGCAAAAACACCAATTACCAAAATGAAGCCATTAGCTACAGCGTATATAAATAAAAGTAGCCCTTTGTGTTCCTTCGTTTTGTTTCACACGTGTGTGTGTGTGTGTGTGTGTGTGTCGCGGACCCGCAGAGATGCGCTCACGACTGTGCTGTTCAAATTTTCGAAACATAAATATTGCAATTTCAAATCAGTGTGAGGCCGCGTGAGCGCGCACTGATCGAGAGTGCGCGCGTCCCGGAGTCGCTCGCCCCCACAGACGCGCAGAGGCTCCAACAGCTTCACCAGCAGCACGAGGGTCAACTCAGCGGCGCTTCCCTCTGCTGCTGTTTAAAACAACAACTGCATACAGCATTCAGTCCATTCTGGGGGTAAAATTAAAGAGCTGCGAGTGTTTCACCGGGAGAAGGACTCGAACACACCGGAAGGATTAACGGGATCTGGAGGTAGGCAACAATATTCCCATTCATTTACAACGTGGTGTTTATTGTAGGATACATGCTGCTGCTCTACACATCCACGCGTGTCACATCGGGGGTTAAACAGTTTACAGACTAAATCCCAGAGCAACCAAGTCCTAAGATATATACAGAAACTATATATATATATATATATATATATATATATATATATATATATATATATATATATATATAGAGAGAGAGAGAGAGAGAGAGAGACATCTGTCCCGTCCTCTGTGATGGTCCAGGTTTTTGTCTTCAGCTTAGCAGCAGGTCGTTCAGGGTTAGAATATAATGCATAATCTTGCATCGTGTTGGCATTGTCCGGGCTTAAGTGACAAAGAACTAATCGATGAGATCGACCGTAAGAGTGATGGGAAGACTTATAGGACAAACGTGTGTGTGTGTGTGTGTGTGTGTGTGTGTGTGTGTGTGTGTGTGTGTTTGTGAGTGTGAACTCTTCTCATTTACATAGACCAATGAGCTATGGGACAGAGCTCAGACTGAACGGTTTTGAAATTCTATGCAGAAATGATATTATATTAAATAAACATGTTTTTGTGTGTGATTCAACAGAAAAGAAGTCATGGACTAATTTATCTGGCAAAGATTTTCAAAGCGCTCAGCATACATGTAAAATACAATATATTTTCCCACGATACAATCAGAAAAGTAATGTTTTGCAACATACTTACATGCATACTCTACTTTTGTAATCTTATACGGAGCTGTTGTATCAGCAACTGCCTGTAACCACCCTGCAGTGTGAATCAGACTTTAAACAGAGCCCCCTCTCTCTTTGTCTGTCCCTCTCCCGGCTCAGGATGTGCGGTTTGGACGCGGACTTGGACGATGCCGGTTCAGGCGAGGAGGAGAAAGAGGAGGAGTTCTGGATCGGGGAGGGAGTGAAGATGCTGCCCCCTCCTGTGGCCCACAGCGGGGGGAGTGCGTGGGGTAGCCGCAGGGGCCGGTTTGGCTGCTTGGCCTGCGGGGCGGCCCTCCTCCTCTGGGACCTGTGCGTGGTCTTAGTCAGCGCTTTGCTCCTGGCTCTGGTCTTCTTCGTGGTGCTGCTGCCTGCGATGCTGCTGTTGTACGCCGGTTTCCTATGCCACTCCCGGGTGAGACAACACACGCCTGTTTTATCTTCTTTGCAGCAAATACGAGCTGAGAGAGAAAGATCGTTCTTTTTTCCGTGTATCCAATCCACTGGCGGGACTTGAGGTACACGATTAGGGATGCAAAGTTGCGTCTGAGCCTCTGGATGATTAGTCAGAGGTTATTGGGAGGAGGAGGATGCTGATACACGTAAGATCAGCACAACAGTACATTTTCTGTAAAAACATAACAAACTGCAATCGTTGTTTCTGTAAAACCCTTTTGTCTACGTACCGTGTTAACGAATATAATGCTACAGGTATTTTGACAAATATCTAAGGCAATGAAATATTGATAATCTTGGAAAAACAGCAAAAAGGCCAAGTGACAAGCTCTAAAGCTCATAACTTGAAATCGCTCGTGTCCCAGTGTGGCGTTTTCTGTCCCTCGTTACTGTCAACAAAACAGGCCTGGAATGAATTAATAATATGACAATTAAACCTCCGAGAGGCATCATTTGTTTACAATAACATTGATTAAAATATAATGAGGGAAATGTGACAAATCCAATTGAGTGTTTCCTGCCGCAGCAGGCTTGGTATATTAGCGAAAAACAAAACCCACTGTTGGTACCCAGCACTAAATGACGGACACACAGACACAGTTAGCCACTCGGTGGGGGGACGAGGGAACATTAATCAGCTAAAAAGCCAGATGCTTTTTCTCAGGAGATGATGGAGAGCGAAGCACGGGGAATATTGCACTTTCATGCATCAAGCGGATAATAAAAGATAACGTTGCACTTGCTGGCTGCGTGAATAAGAAACGGTTTTACTACATCAAATGTTCAGCGTTGTGTTTACAACTTGCTGTCCCCGAATGGCCGGATCGTGCCTCGGAGATGGACAGCCATGACTCCGGCTCCTTAGACAGGTCGCAACATCCCGGCCCACCTTCGACACGCCTGCTCCTTTTGTCTGGTTGCCTTGCGTTTGTCGTGACGTACGACGCAGCAGATAGATGGAGAAATGGCAAAGCGTGCACGGGCAACGAGACTACAATCAGGATTAGGCCAGAGCAGATGTCAGTTCAGAGCAAACAATTACAGACGGTGTCAGTCTGCGGCGGCAGACTGAGCGCGGAAACTGCCCCACTGAGAAGACTGTCTGATGTGGTGCGAGCACCAGCTGTGCACAGCCGCACTGACAGCACGACCAGAGGGAGCATGTACGCAGTGAGAGCACACTGCTCACTTGTCACATGCGTGTCTGCGTTCGCGCGTGTCCGTGCGTGTGTTCTTGAGTGTCTTGAACAGCGCTGTTGCTAGGGTGCGTTCGTTGAGGGTGTAGCTCCCTTTGAAAGAGCTTACAATAGGAGATGGTGTCGGGAAAAGTGATTCGGGCATAATTAAATAATTTATTTGGCTCTGAGATAATGTTCTTTGTGTCACGTTTGTGTGTGTCTCCGTTTATGTGTCATGTGTGCGTGTGTGTCTAATGGTCCTTGAAAAGATGTAAATGTGTACTTCTGTAATTGGCCTTTTTAGGTCTTACTTTAGTTTCCGTCTCTTCCTCCCTTTCGCTTGCCCTCACAAGGTGATTGACAGCTGGGAGGGTTACTCACAGCAATGACACACTGCCGATCTGATCCGTGGAGGGAGGCTGGGAGAAACTCTGTCACAGCCCACTACCCACATCATCTCCGTTTTGCGCCCTGAGCATATACAAACACACTCATGCGCACATACACGACTAGCAAGTCCTTCCTATTTGCCTTTCGACAGAAAAGAAGGAGCTCTCCTGCTGGTTCAAAATGTCCATCATGTCCTCGTGAGCCCTGCTGTCTACTTAATGACCTCCCTCCTGACTTGTCCTGGTAGGTTCTTGATGCCCCCTCCGTCATCTGCCGTTACCTTGACGACAACAGCTGCTCCGCCCTCATTATCCTGGGTTTCGTGATGATGTCGCCGCTCGTGGTCGTGGCCGCCGCCGTCTTCTGCGGGCTGCTCCGACGGTTTCGACTTCTGCTGCTCATTCAGCCGATCTCACGTGCCCGGTACCGAGGGCGGCTGTTGGATTGGGCGGGCAGCGTCCACGCCTGGGTCTGACCAGTAAGGAGCCCAAGATGCTAACAGAGCGATACAAAAGGTAGACAAAATAACAGGAACACCTCACATTGTAATCCACGTTGACCTAACTAGCCAAATGCCAAGGTTTGAATACAGTGTCTTGCCTTACACCGTTGGTCCATTTTTTTTTTAAATGGGGATTTAAGAAGCTTTTTGGGCCTGAGAGGATTTTTTTGTTGCAGTTCTAAGGAGTAGCCAATAGAATAATATGTTTTATACCTTCATCGGTTTCGGGTGTGAAGTAACTTTAGACTGAACAAACAAGACGTAACTTTAGTAATTACTGAGCTATACAGTGGCTGTCATCTTTAGACAGTTGTTGCTGTTTTTAATGTTAATGCTAAGCTACGCTAAGCTAATCCCCTCTGCCAGATAGGAGAGTTGTGTTGTTTTTCTCATCGGAAAAAGTTTTGTGATGTTGTACTGGATTGCTTATTAAAAGGTGTCTCGATTATTAATGCCCCTGTACATTCAAGGTAATTCAATACAAAGATAACAAACCTTTTCTGCACTCATTTGATCCATATGATTAAAACACATCACGGAATAGTGCAGTAAAACTCAAATCATTTTTGTAAAATGAGGATTTTCATTTCAGTTTTGCGATAGAATGATGGCAACATTCAAAAGAAAATAGAAACTTAAATTATGGTTATTTTCCCCTGATTGTTTGCTAACTATGTTGACGTTGTTACATGTGGAAGAAATATATTACTCTAAAAATATTTCTGGTTGTACATTAGAAGTCTAAAAAAAGTAAAAACATAATTGCAAATTGTTTAATGTGGTCCATTATTTTGGACTCAATTTCCCAGCACCGTCACACAAACACACAACAGTTTTAAATAATTTAACTGGACTTTAATATTGTCTGTGAGGTGAATTAAATCACTAGCTGATGTAGTCTTGTGCGAACCAGGGAATCATGATTCATTTAAGTGGGTCTGCCAGAATGAAAAACTACCTTCATTATAAAAAAAGCAGAAGTTGACAGAGTAATAGCTGTTCAGTGAAAGCCATGTAATAATGTGAGGTTGAATGGTCAGACTGTAGCTAACTCAAACTTAGATTCATCACTGACTCATGGGCCGTATCCTTTTTATCTGCATGTGCATTCTCAATAATGGAGTGGTCAGATTTCATGTTTAATTTCTAAACTGAAAGCCCTGAGTCATATTTCACGAGGAGCAGTTTTTACTTTTCCTTTACCAATGTTATCTTACTAAAATGTATCTTTAAACATATTCATTTGTCAATGTCAGTCCTTTCATTGATCTTACATTGAACGACCATTATTTGTTGTCCGTAATGAAGCCCTAGTTACAGTATTTTCAGAGAACTAAGAAGGAAAAGATTTTTTTTTCATTCATTTTGCTGGTAATAATCACACCTTACATAATGTTTTGTAAAGAACACTGAATTTGTTTTTATTGTTCAGCTTCCATTTTCAGTGTCATTAAAACAAAAACAGGTTGTTATGTTCAAAACAATAAAAATAGATTTATTTCTCACTATTGTGTTTATTTCTGTACTATTGACCTGCTCGTCAATTTTCCAATAAAACCCCCTGAGAAAGTGTCGCTACTTGACTCGCTCTTGACTCTCACCAGTGAGTGAATAAGCTAATTAAAGGAGGATTTGTCCCCCGATGAAGTGGTCGTCTGGCCCTTCCGGATAATGTATGTCGTCCATTAAACCACCATATTGAGAGATGCAGCCTCCTTCTCTTGTTCAGAGAGCCTGCAGCGTCAATGTGCGATTGTTCTCACTACAAAAGACCACCAAGCGATGTTTCTGGTGATGGTTTTCCCTGCAGTGGTCCAGCCGTACCCCCGGCTTACTGCTCGCAATCATTTGAATCATTTCTGTTATAGGAATAGAATGTATTGTACATCTTTTACATTGTTCGTTCTGTACACAATGACATCCATTGTAGTCTGTCCATCCCGGGAGGGGAAGGTTTCTTCCCTATTTTTCTTGTGCCAATGTCATGTGTTTCGGGACAGAGGATGTCGCTTGTGTACAGACTGTAAAGCCCTCTGAGGCAAATTTGTAATTTGCAATTTTGGGCTATACAAAATGAAATGAATTGAATTGAATCTCCCTGCCTGACAAAAGCATAAAGTCATAGCACAAAGTACCAGGAACCTCAGTGGCTTCAAATACCTGGTCTTAACGTTGTGTCCTTACTATTTAATTAGGTAATTCATGGTTTTTTTTAATGTTAACTATATTCTTTTGTAACAGAGTCCTCGTACAGCTGATTGTGTGTCGCCAGCTCAATGCAGCTGACCCGAGCCAATTCCAAATATTAGGGTATTCTTGCCTTCTAACACTTCACCGGCTCTTTAGACTTGAATCCATTACTGTAAAAGGTGCTTCTCACTGCTCTCAACAGATTGATGCAAATGTGGATATCCAATGTTTGGCTTCAAAGTCGACCCTGTAATGGATGCTTCTGTCTGTGAGTGCCAATTTTAAAAAGAGAGTCTATTGGACAATATTCCAAAACAGAGGAGAATTCACAGTATTGAAAGCAGTTGTTGGCTCTAATATTTCAGTCAAAACACCAAAGTATTTAATTCCCGTTGAAATAATTAGAACATTTCATAGCAAACACAGTAAAATAAAAATAACAATCTCTGGGTCAAGATTTTTTCATTAATCTATATTCTGTTGAAATGTTCACACAGACCTCACTGATTTGTCTCTATGACAACTTCACAACCAAATCATAAGTGGGATTAATAATTATATGTCATTTATAAATCCAGGAAAGCCCAGACCAGGCCTTGAGTTGTAAAAATGCCACAGATGACAAGCAAGCAGCAGCTTTGTGTTGCTTTGCCTCAGTCCAGCCCGTCAAACAACTGTATTGCCTTCTAAAAAATAATTCAAGAATGCAAAACACTTACAATGTAACAACATATGAGAACAGAATCAATATTTTGCACGTGGCATACAGCAGATAGTCCCCTCAAGAAAACGCTGTTAGACGTGTCTGCACGTTTGCGTGGTCTGTCAGTGAGTCGTTAGCATCGTTAGCATCGTTAGCTACGAGCCACTGACCAGCACTCAACATGTTGAGAGCTGTTGAAAATCTTTTTTTCACCGGCACACTGGACGTTAGAACATATGGCAAGTGGCTGCAGAATGGACACTCGATTGAGATCTGTCTCTATAGCAACAGGTGTTTGTGTGTTTGTTACGTATGTTGATAAGTGGTGTCCTTGTTAATAGCGTGCTGTCAGTGCCAGTGTGATGTATGTGTGTGTGTTTGTGGCCACCCTGTGATCGCAGAATGATACCATTATGTACGAGTGGCCAAGCGAATAACCACCGCGTTAGCACACAGATGTTTGCCAGAGAACAATGAGCAAACAAATTCCTGATTTTCCTCTGAACACCCTGTGGCGGCCAACTGCTGGTGATGGAGCACAGGAATAAAAAGAGATAATTACCAGCAGGCAGGCAGGCTGTCAAGAGCTGACAGCACTTCCAGGGCGGGGCTGTGTTGTGGGGAAGGGCTTTATATTTGACATACAGGCTTAACTTATCAACAACCATCAACAACCTGACCACCGACCAGGGGGGCTGGTCTCATTAGACAGTACTCCCGTTAAGACTAAGACTACGTCAGTTCACACCTGACATTTGAATGGGTCTGAAGTGCAGGTGATGAGATCACACTTTCCCGCCATATATGCAAATAATCACATGGGCTCTGTCATTTGCAGACTCCAGATGCAGATGCGGCCTAATAATACAATTTATATTGATATTATTTTAGTATGTGTATATACAGTGCATCCGGAAAGTATTCACAGCGCTTCACTTTTTCCACATTTTGTTATGTTACAGCCTTATTCCAAAATGGATTAAATTCATTATTTTCCTCAACACTCTACACACAACAACCCATAATGACAAAGTGAAAACTTTTGCAAATCGGTTAAAAATAAAGAACGAAAACATAAGATGTACATAAGTATTCACAGCCTTTGCTCAATACTTTGTTGAAGCACCTTTGGCAGCAATTACAGCCTCAAGTCTTCTTGGGTATGATTCCACAAGCGTGGCACACCTATTTCTGGGCAGGTTCTCCCATTCTTCTTTGCAGAACCTCTCAAGTTCCATCAGGTTGGATGGGGAGCGTCGGTGCACAGCCATTTTCAGACCTCTCCAGAGATGTTCAATTGGGTTCAAGTCAGGGCTCTGGCTGGGCCACTCAAGGACATTCACATAGTTTTCCCGAAACCACTCGTTTGTTATCTTGGCTGTGTGCTTCGGGTCGTTGTCCTGTTGGAAGATGAACCGTCGCCCCAGTCTGAGGTCCAGAGCGCTTTGGAGCATGGTTTCATCGAGGAGGTCTCTGTACATTACTGCATTCATCTTTCCCTCAATCCTGACTAGTCTCCCAGTTCCTCCCGCTGAAAAACATCCCCACAGAATGATGCTGCCACCACCATGCTTCACTGTAGGGATGGTATTTGCCAGGTGATGAGCAGTGCCCGGTTTCCTCCAGACATGACGCTTGGCATTCAGGCCAAATAATTCAATCTTTGTTTCATCAGACCAGAGAATTTTGTTTCTCATGGTCTGAGAGTCCTTCAGGTGCTTTTTTGTGCTTTTTACTGAGGAGTGGCTTCCGTCTGGCCACTCTACCAAACAGGCCTGATTTGTGGAGTGCTGCAGAGATGGTTGTCCTTCTGGAAGGTTCTCCTCTCTTCATAAAACAACGCTGGAGCTCTGTCTGAGTGAGCATCGGGTTCCTGGTCACCTCCCTGACTAAGGCCCTTCTCCCCCGATCGCTCAGTCTGGCTGGGCGGCCAACTCTAGGAAGAGTTCTGGTGGTTCCAAACTTCTTCCATTTCCATCGCCAGATCTGTGCCTCGATACCATTCTGTCTCGGAGGTCTACAGATCATTCCTTGGACTTCATGGCTTGGTTTATGCTCTGATATGCACTGTCAACTGTGATACCTTATATAGACAGGTGTGTGCCTTTCTCAGTCATGTCCAATGAACTGAATTTCAGCACAGGTGGACTCCAATCAAGTTGAAGAAACATCTCAAGGATGATCAGTGGAAACAGGATGCACCGGAGCTAAATTTTGAGTGTCATGGCAAAGGCTGTGAATACTTATGTACATTGTTGTGTTCAAAAATGAAGAAACGCCGGACGGACAGAGGTCATCGCTGATCAAAAGGTTAAATCAAATGTATTTAATAAAAGAGATGGTGTTGTGGTAAAAAGAACATCTCAGCTGAGGAGCCGCTGGTCTCAGCAACCAACAGGCCCCAGGTCAGTCCTTTGACCATCCCTAGTGCCCGTTTGTCGCCTCCACCAGCGAACTCGAGGACAATGGTTCCTACAGGTATTTATAACAATGCTTAAAGGTGTGAAAGTTAGTGATGATGATGACACCTCTGGGAGTGGTCTTCTGGTGAGTTCAATGTAACTCGGATTTCGAATGATCCATAGTCAATATCAGTTGTTGTTCAAGTATTACATGCGTGCATTCCAGTTGATTACATTACATCAAATACAATCATAACTGCATTATTATTATTCTATTACAGTTGCAGAATTACAGTGGTTTTACAATATTGTCATTACTTTATTGATTACACAGTTTCAGAATCATGGCTGTATTCTGGTGTACACTATATGCGTTTAACTGCAATTCATCACTTTGTCACTTGTCACTTTGTCTTTGTCTGTTACTTGTTCGTTAGTGCACTTTATGCTTAATATTTTTCTTTTTAACTTTTTAATATTTAAAAATGTTTAACTTTATTCCCTTGTTTTATACTAACCCATAGCCTTAGCCTTATTCTACTAACCCATTGCATTAGCATTTCATTCCACTTTATTGTATTACTTGTGCACTGTTGTCTTGTCTCTCTACTGTTGCGCACTAACCGCCAAGACAAATTCCTTGTATGTTTGACATATTTTGGCTAATAAACGTTTCCTGATTCAACCCATACAACAACCCATAATAAAACCCAAAACAAAATATTCATTAATGTATAATAATTTCAAAAATACCCAGAGCCGACGCCCCATCCTGTGGAGAAGAAATCAAAGCAATTAACAAACCAAAGCGATGAAACAAGATGTTTGTTCCTTATAAATCTTGAAGGAGCTTTATGACATTTTTAGACATCGTGGCAGCAAATGAGTCTGTAGTTCCACTTAAAATAAATTGACCTTTAAGGTGGCCCAGAACGCATTTAGGTACATGATAAAATAATGTTGCAAATAGACTGCATTTTAAAAGTTTACCTAGTTATTGTAACGTCCCCAATTGGTTTGTGGTTTGCTGTTGTGAATTTTGCCGTCACCATCTTGGTTCACAATCGTCGCAAAGTTGTTGGTTTTTGCTGCAGATGAACGGAAGTTACCTTATTTATAATGTGGAGAAGTGACGTAGAGATGCCAGATATGTCTCTGGTGCAGGCAGCAACATGCAGGTTTATCAAGTCTCCAGATGACAGCAGTACTCTCAAAGACCATTACATCCTCTCCAGAACTCCTATTCATGGCAGGTCGCCTGCTCAGCCTGTGTAATTTT